AAAAAAAAAAAAAAAAAAAAAAAAAAGACTTCTTTGGTATGAGGCACTGGGACATTTAAACATAAATAAATAGAATAAAAAAAAAATTTTAAAAAAGAGAGTAGGTATAAGAAAAAAGGAAAGAAAAAAGACAAAAATAAATACATATGAGGGCTGGCTGGTTAGCTCGGTTGGTTAGAGTGTAGTGTTATAACACCAAGGTAAAGGGTTCAGATCCCTGTACTGGCCAGCCACCAATAAATAAATAAATAAATAAATAAAAGTAGGTATGAAATAAACAGCATTGTCCCCATAAAATAATGGAAACAGGAGGAATCTAGGAAGAAGACTATCCAGGCAGAACGTCCTGCTAAAGATCTCTGCATAAGAAGATGTGTGTTCATTTAAGATGTAACCCAAATGGGCACAGGAAGGCACCTGCAGGAAATGCTAGAATCTCTGGTACAACCCAGAGACAGGCCCAAAGGCTGTGCTGGCGGGTGGAAAGCCAATGACTAGGACACTGCATTAAGCAAGAGATGATAACAGACAGTAAAAGCAAATAATAAAAATGACAAATGGAAAAACATGTCAACAAAAGGTGGAACCAGGATGTGCTGAGAATTCTGGCAGTCAGTGAAAAGGCCAGGTGGCCTCACTTTTTCTAAGTTCTAACCTCTAGAACAACATGTTGGCAGACAGTGAAGGCAGAGGTGGGAAAAGCAGTTCTCCTGGCACCTTAGAGATCCCTCCAACCCCTTAAAGTCAACAGGACCCAAACCAAACTCATTGTGTTTCTCCCAAACCCAAGCTCCAGGCTCTGCACCATCATCCTGAACAGCTCAACCTGCCCTTCCAGTTTTGCTCAGAACATTTTTGTGCAGTCCCCCTTTCCTGCCTCGTAAGAATGAAATATAAAACAAATGGTTTTGTGTAATTTTAACAATAATCTTCTCCTCCTTATTATCTCCTGAAAATCTACCCTTGAAAGTTATGCGCAATACTTTAAGGGCAGTGATTCTCAACTAGGAGCGATTTTGTGCCCCAGGGGACATTTGGCAATATCTGGAGACATTTTTGGTTGTCACAACTGGGGGAGGGGATACTACAGACATCTAGTAGGTAGAGGCCAAGGAGGTTGTTCAACCTGACAAAGAATTATGTGGCCCCAAATGTCGAAAAACCCTGTTTTAGGAGAAGATATAAGTTACAATGCTTTTTGGTTTTTTAAAGAAAAAAAAAAGCAAATGCTTCATAATGTAAAATATCCTAACATTCTTTGATAAATGCTACTGTTTATAGACACAAAGAAATGAAGCACAAACGTATCTTAAAATTCCAGAATTACATATACCAGGGAGAGGAGGAAGAAATTGTTGCAAACAGACTTGTAGTGTCAATTAGACTTCATGTTATCAGGCAGGATTGTTAGTTCAAGAAACTGTAAGGGCAAATAAGCTCTGTAGCTCAGGAGAAGGGAGAGGACAAATCAGATCTGATTCCCCACTATAAACCACCCCTTCCTAAATCAGAACAGTATTTTGTCTTCTGGCATTCCACCAAACGACAGTAGAAGAGTGAAATATCTTACCAATAAACATCAACTCCAACCTTTTTTTTTTCCCCTTTTTGTCTTTTTTCGTGACCGGCAACGGATCGCAACCCCCAGTGTCGCGCCTGTACCGGACCGGGACCGGCAACGGAATCGCAACCCTCGGCGTTGCACCCGCACCTCGCTCAGCCAGTGAGCGGCCGGTCTGTATGTGGGATCCGAACCCTCGGCGGGAGCCTCAGGAGGCGCACTGTAGCAGTGCGCCCCCGGGCCGGCCCTCCAACCTTTTTTAAAAACAAGTTTTCTGTTTTGTTTTGTCTTAACATTCCTTGCAAAACAAAAGTTCTTTGATGTAAACTGTTATTTAGCTAAGACCAGGCCTCTATTTTTGCCTACCCCCAACCCCCAACTATGTAAATAATTCCCATCACTAAACATTCTCATTTATTGGAAGCAGGGGGAGAGGTGGAAGAGGGAGGATAAGTGTTACGTTAAGAATTATGATTCAAACTCCCCCAAAACGATAAAACACATCCAGGGTAGAAAAGAATTACTAGAAACATCCCTTAGAGTGTACCGCAAAAATTATCATCGAATTCAAAAATCCTATCAAAGGAATGTCTTCCTTTAAGAAAAGTTACTTCACAACTTCCAAAGTTGCTTAAGGCCCATATCCGACTGGCAGATTCTGTTTATTCTTGTGCCCATCCCTCTCCCTTTGAACTTCACCAGGCCACACATCACTGAGCTGACTCCTCCGTTGGAGTCAAGCACCGTACCTCTCTGCCAAGCCTTTACTGCATGCGGTTAGTAATCACCGAGCCCCTTCTAGGTGAACACGTGTAGGTGTGGGAGTGGACAGTAGGGTTGGCCGGTGGGTGCCAGGGGGAGGACGGGTCCGGGCCACACCCCGACCTCCGAGCTCAGAGTCCCCTCCGGTGGCATCCCACAGCTCTCGGGGTGGGTGTTCTCCACCCAGCTCATACTAGAAGTCCACTCCGGGAACAGCACCGGTGGGACAACCCCTGTCCCAGACGGAGACACCTTCGATCCAAACTCAAGAATAAAAGGGATCATTTAAAACCTTTACGTAGCTGCGCCCGCTTGTACAAAGGCAGCTCCAGACACGACTCTGCTTCCCACTAAGTAGGAGGGTGGAGCTCCGCGGTCCCGCGAGGGTCTCGGGAGCCAGCTCCTGCCTGGCGCGTGCACACCGCGGGCTGCTAAAACCGCTCGCCCGGCACAGACACCGGCGATGGCCCTGGGGCGCTCCCAGGTGTGCGCACGGAGGGGTGCAGATGCAGGTACGCCGACTGCAGGAGCGCTCCTAGCGTACACACGCAGGTGTACAGACAGCCGCGGGCGCCGGGACACGTCGCGACACCCCGGCCTCGGCCACGCTCCCCGCGCCCCCGACCGATGTCGCGCCTCATCAACTCACCTCTTCCAGAAATTTGGTCAAATCGTAGACCTTGTGGTGCAAGATCACCCAAGTGCTTTTGCTGTGGTTGTGCTTCTCAATCTCTTCCAGGGTGTAGTACTTCACGGCCTTGTCCGACTGCTCGGCCATCTCGGTGCGCGGCGAGCCAGGCCCAGAAAACACAGCCGCGCAGGCAGAAGACCACGCGCCGCAGCCTGCTCCGCCCGGGACATTCCCAGCGCGTCCGCGCCCGGCGCGGGAGGCTGGGCTGCGGAGGGGGCGGAGGGGGCAGGCGCAAGTGGCTTCTGAGGACTGGCTGGTGCCCGTGCCACTCAGGAGCCCCCCCCATTCCACCGGCCTAAGCGCGCCCCGCCCAGTCCGCGAGTGCTGATTGGCTGCAGGAAGTGCCCTTCACAAGGCACCAGAGGTGGGGCGGAGGGGTTCGAGGGCGCGGGGGTGCTGCGGCCCGGGCTGGGGCAGGTCAGAGGCCCGAGGTTGGGGGCTGTCGCCGGTCCCGGTGAGTGAGCGGGAGAAAAGGTGGTCACACCGTGTAGCGATGGCACCAGTGCAGAGTCCAGCCTTGTGAGGGCAGCGACCTCAGCACCAAAGTCGGGGTGTTGCCTAATCAAACCAAATCAGCCCTAGGTCCCGACGTTAATTTGTAACAAAGGTAGTAATGTTCCAAGTCCCATAAAAGGAATGGCCTGGGTAAACTGTTAACGTGCTCAAAAGATTTGAGAGCCTCGTGCACGTTAAAAAAACAGTTTCACAACGTAACCTCTGCAAAACCAAAGTGTTGCCCCAAATCAGCAAACTACTAATTTTGCTTGACTAGTCCCCGCCCGCGGTTTGGATTGCCTTGTTCTCAAAGGAAGAAAACAAAAACAAAAAACCAACTGTTGGGAAAATGGAACAATTTGGTCAGGCTCCCCTCACCTCTGAGATGGTTCAGGGCAGTTCAGTAAACATTGTGTGTGTGGGTGGAGTACCTGCACCTGCAAGATGGTACCACTTTGGCTGGTTTTTACTGCCTCACTGCCTCAGGGGCAGCTTCCAAGGACCACGTGGCCGGTTACCTAGCTCATAGACCTGCATGAAGGGGTCTGGTGACCCAGCCTGGCATGTAAAGGGTTTGTGACCCAGTCTGTGAATGAGCTTGAGCGGTCTGGGACCTCCAGACTCAGCCTTAGCTCAACCATCGGCCTAGTCGGTGTAGGATTACTGGCAAGTAAAAGAGCCCGACAGTTATGGTCACCTAGCTTTACAATTGGCATCAGGAACAGTATTAAGAGCTAGACAGTTGGCGCTGTGAGCAGGATTCGAGACATTACCCTTGCAGTAGCAGGACACCAACAAACAAAACAGGGAAAATATTTTTTCCATGAAAAGTAAAAGCATCCAAACTTTCTGTAACTCTGAAATAGCCTCTTAGCTGTTGACTCATGATGGACAAGGACTTGTATTAGTCTCTTATCTGTCTTATCTCAACAGTGTTTCTTTTAGTGTAAACATAAATAATGAACAGCATTTGGACTAGTTTGCAAGAGTACCTCCCTAGCCAGCAGTCCTCCCCCACTCCCACCCCCCATGTTTAAATAAGGCAAAATATCACATAGGAAGAACTACAAATGTTTAAGGGGGAAAACAGAAAAATTCCAGCATATCAAAAAGTCCTTTGATATTTTATTTAGGCCCTTTTCAGCAATGATAGTTAGTTCCAAAAAGAACTACACAAAAGTTTACACATGAAGGTCATCCTCCCAGGGACTCAGTATCGTTCCTACACATCCTAGGACTTCATGAATGTTCCCTTTCACCCTACTTTCCTCATCCGTAGGAGTGCATGACCATCAAGAAGGAAACATTTTTTGAAGCATTCCAAAATATTTTTTCTCTCTTTTTTTTATGTCAAGTAAACATTTCCAAATGTAACACTGTTATTTAGAGGTATTTCTAAGGACTAAGCAGTGCTAAGAAGGTAAATATTTGTACTATAATACTAATCAGTTTTGGTTCATATATAATATATAAATGTTTATTTTACATCAATCAACAAAAATATAATGTTGAAATTATTTCTAAGAGAGTTCTGTACTTTCTTTAACCTTTAATTTCGAAGTAATTGTAGGTTCGCAGGAAGTTGCAAATATAGTACAGAGAGGTCCTGTGTACCCTTCACCCAGCTTCCCTCAAGTTACATCTTAATGTAACTATAGTACGATATCAAAACCAGGAAAATGACATTGGTACAATGTATGTGTATAGTCCCATTCCATTTTAGGACTTATGTAGGTCTGTGTAACCTCCACCACAATCAAGATATAGAACTGTTTTATCACCACAAAGATCTCCCTGGTGCTACCCCCTTATAATCACACCTACTTCCTTTCTCATAGCATCTCTAACACCTGGCAACCAGTAATCTGTTTTCCACTTGTATAATTTGTCATTTCGGGAGTTAGGTAAATGGAATCATACAGTATATGACATTTTGAAATTGGCTTTTTTCACTTAGCATAATGCCCTTGAGATCCATCCAAGTTGTTAAGTGTATTGATAGTTCATTTTCATTACTAAGTACAGTAGTTCCCCCTTATCTGAAGTTTCATTTTCCTTAGTTTCAGTTACGTGTGGTCAACTGAGGCCTGAAAATATTACATGGAAAATTCCAGAAATAAACAATTCATGAGTTTCAAATTGTGCACCATTCTGAATAGCATGATGAAATGTCATGTCTCTGCTTGAGATATGAATCATCCCTTTGTCCAGTGTATCCATGCTGAACACACTACCCACCTGTTAGTGACTTAGTAGTCATCTCAGTTATCAGATCAACTGTCACATTTGGCAGTGCTTGTGTTCAAGTCACCCTTATTTGACTTAATAATGGCCCCAAACCATTTCTTGTCTTATCGCATTGCTGAGAACATCTAGTACTATGCTGAATAGCATTGGTGACTGTATACATCCTTGTCTTGTTCTTGATCTTAGAGGGAAAACATTCAATCTTTTACCATAAAGTGTGATGTTACTTGTTATGTTTCTGTAGATGCTGTTTATCAAGTTGAGGAAGTTCTCCTTTATACCTAGTTTTCTGAAAGTTTTTATCATCAGTGGATACTGAACTTTGGCTAAAGCTTTTTCTTCGTCACTTGACATGATCATGTGATTTTTCTCCTTTAGCCTTTTCATATGATGAAATACATCAACTGATTTTTCAAATATTGAACCAGCCTTGAATCTCTAGAATAAACTCCACTTGTTTATGGTATATAATTCTTTTTATATATTGCTGAATTCTATTTATAATGTGTAGCTAAGAATTTTTATATGTATTTTTATGAGAAATATTGGTATATAGTTGTCTGTTTTCTGTAATGTATTTGTCTGGTTTTGGTATTAGAGTAATACTGACTTCATAGAATGAGTTGGAACATTTTCCTTTCATTTCTATTTTTCTGGAAGATACTGTATAGAATTGGTGGTGGTGTTCTTTAAACGTCTGGTAGAATTCTCCAGTGAAACCATATCGACCTAGACATTTCTTTTCGAGGTTCTAAACTATCAATTCAATTTCCTTAACAGTTATAGGACTATTCAAATTATCTGTTTCATACAGGACAAGTTGTGATAGTTTGTACTTTCCGAGGAATTGGTCTGTTTCATCTAAGTTGTAAAATCTTTGTGTGCAGTTCTTCATAGTAGTCCCTTATCCTTTTGATGTCTGCACAGTCTGCAGTTATATTCTGTTTAATTCCTGACATTAGTAATTTGTGACTTCTATTTTTTTCCTGTCAGACTTACTAGAGGTTTCTCAATTTTGCTGATCTTTTAAAAGGACAGCTTTTTGTTTCACTGAGTTTCTCCATTTTTTTTCTTTTTTCAACTTCATTGATTTCTACTCTTTATTATTTCCTTCCTACTGCTTGCTTCCCCCCCCCCCGCTTTATTTTCTCAAGATGGGAGTTAGATTATTGATTTGAGACTTTCCTTTTTTTCAAATATATGCATTTAGTGTTATAAATTTACTATACTTTTTTTTTTACAACAGAGGACCAGATTATACTCTTTCCCTAATAGTTCTCAGAACTGCTGAATCTCCCCATGACTTCTAGTGGAGCGACATGTCTCTTGAATGAATGGCTACTTCTATAATCTAATATCAAGACTGCTTCAGATTTCAGTCCCAGGTCCAAATAACTCCAAAAGTGGTTAAAGCAAAAAAAACTTTGGTGTCAGTGACCTGGATTCTAACCCTGGTTTTGTGACTTACCAGTTGCACTTACTATGAGCTAGTCAGTGTTCTAAGCTGCTTGCTTGTAAAATGCTCAGAATAGGGCCTGGCACATAGAAAGCAATTGATAAATTTCAGCTAGTACTATTTTTATTACTACTCAATTGGACTTCCTTATTCTAAAATACAGGTATGAGGAAGCATTTTATCTGGCAGGTACTCCAAGGTGAAGTAAATCTAGGCAAATTTAGAGACAAACAGACCTGAGGAATTAAAGGAACACAAATATTTACAAACTGCTCCTGACTTATATAGCAAGGAAATTTTTATAAATTTAGAAAATCAATTCTACTCCTAAAGTTTCTCAGGTAAAAATATATTGTAAAAAGCACCCAGTCTTCTCTTCTTCTATAAGACAAAAATAAGCATTGTTACATTTTTTTATTCCTTTTCTAATTCTTTCTGCCACACATGCACAAGACCCACTTGAGAAGCTCTTTGCTCCCCATGGAACAAATAGTTATACCAACCATAGACATATGGTTTCCTTATCAAATGAGCACTTCTACAAAAATGGACTCTAATTCATGTTTCTACATAGATAATTTGCATTTTATCCATGTCTTTTAATTACCACGTTAGTGTAGTTTAACTTTTCCTTTCCAAAAATGTCTGTCTCTAGTATATTTAGCCGATTTTTAAATAATTCCCAATCTATTAGCAGTAATTCCCAAAATTTTCTAAATTTTTAAATTTTTTATTTATTTTTAAATAAAGCATTCATGGACCGAACCCGTGGCACACTCGGGAGAGTGCAGCGCTGGGAGCGCAGCAGCACTCGTGCCACAGGTTCAGATCCTATATAGGGATGACCGGTGCACTCACAGTGCTCACTGGCTGAGCGCAGTGTGGCCGGTCTCAAAAAGGACAAAAAATAAAAAAATAAATATAAATAAAGCATTCGTGACTTGAAGTTGTTTTTAACCATGTATATTTAAAATTCAGCAGT